AATGATCGTGAGCAGAGGGTCAGGGACTCCGAAAGCACGAAGAACAACCCAGAGTCCAGTCCTACTGATGGTATCATAGGCCTTGACCAGGTCAATAAAGCAGAGATGTAGGTCTTTTTGGAATTCCCTACACCTCTGCTGTAGCAGACGGACAGAAAATATGGCATCTGTGCAGGACCGCCCTTTCCTGAAACCGCATTGGGGCTCCGCAAGCCCCTCCTCAGCGTGCCTAGCAAGGCGATGTTGAATAATCCTTGCCAGGACCTTACCCGGCACACTGAGGAGTGAGATGCCCCTGTAGTTGTTACAGTCTGTGCGGTCCCCCTTCTTAAAGAGGGGGACCACCAGGGCATCCTTCCAGTCCTGCGGAACCCGTCCAGTGGTCCAGACTGTTGTTATGATGTCATATAGGGCAGTCTGTGCACAAACGCCACCCTCCCTCAGCATTTCGCTTGGGAGATCATCTCTGCCCGGTGCCTTCCCTGGTCTCAGACTCCGGATCGCCCTCAGTACTTCCTCAACAGCTGGAACCTCAGCCAGCCACTCACAGGGGGTGACCTCTTCCAATATTTGAGGCACCGCAGCCTCAGCAGGGTTATCCCCACTTTGTGCCATGATGTTTTCCTGGCTGAGAGAATTTCCCTCCCCCAGGACCTCACAGAAATGCTCAGCAAATCTGCAAACCTGTTCCTGGGGGTCGGAGATTGGATCACCGTTTTTTCCTCTAATGATGGTAATAGGTGTGGCGCTGCAGGTTACTTTTTTGATGGAGTTAAATAGTGATTTGTGATCACGGGCCACTGAGGCAGACTCCATCTCCTCAGCAACCCGCGACCACCACCCATCCTTACAACGCCTTACGGCTCTCCGAACTTCCGAGCGAAGGCTGCGGTAAACCTCCTCATTCTCTGACGTGGGATGCTGTAGGCGATGAGAGTGGGCCTGTCGCTTTTTCTCAATTAACCTGAACACCTCCTCTGTCAGCCAGGGTTTCTGGGGAGGTCTGGACCGCGTACCCAAAGCAGCCATTGCAGCTGCATGAGTCACAGTCTTAAACCTCGCCCATTTACCCTCGACATCAGGTGGAGTGGGGGACGATGCCAACCCCAGCTGCAAGCGATGATGAAATTCTCGCTTGCAACTTTCATCAGCTAACTGAGACCAGGCCACTTTTGGTTGGAATGGGATCCTGGGTGTACACCCACCACCGGAGTGGAAGAAAGGCAGGCGCATCTTACAGATGACTAGTCGATGGTCAGAGGACAGATCAGCTCCACGGTAGGTCCTGGTGTCAAGGACATGGGTTCGCATCCGCTGGTCCGTCACTATGTAGTCCAGCAGATGTTCTTGCTTGGACCCGGCATGTATCCATGATGTTGTGTGGATGCGCCGATGCCGGAAGAGCGTGTTGGTAATTACAAGCCCATGGGCTGCACAAAAATCTAGCAGCCTCCTACCGTTATTATTGAGCTGATCTGGCCCATGCCTTCCAATCACTCCAGACCAGGTGTCAGCATCATGACCAACTCGGGCATTGAAGTCACCCAACAAGATGACTCTGTCCCGAGTGGCCACTTTAGCCAGCACCTGTGACAGGAGGTCATAGAAAGCGTCTGACTCATCGGCTTTGCTTGCATCCCTCCACGGATGTTCGTCTTCGGTGGGGGCATAAGTAACCACGACCACCACTCCTCGCCTCTGGTTGATGGGAAGGCGAGCCCAAAGTATCCTGGGGCTTACAGCTTCCCACACCTCACCGTCACGCTCCCATGCCCCCTTCATTCTTTTGTTCAGAAGAAGAGCCACACCCTGTTGTTTGGCAGTCTCCTGCCCCGAGTAGAGGACTGTCCACCCCTCATGGTGGCAGGAGCCCGAACCGGTCCACCGGACCTCCTGAATGCCACAGAGATCCAGGCGGTACCGGTCCAGCTCCCGACAGAGGAGTGGCAGCCTCTCCTCCGCAGTGAGCGTTCGAACATTCCACGTGGCCATCCGCAATGGTTTTTTGTTGTTTCTGGAGGAGCCCCGAGGGTGAAAATTCAATCTCCTGGCTCCGCCAAATGGGGTTTGGCCAGGAGACGTCATAAAAGCCTGACCCCCCGGGGCCTCCGGCACAAGCTTATTTGTTACAGGTTTATGTTTAATTCGTGGTTTAGTGGTAATGAATTGAAGGTGGAGGGGTTACCAGCCCCTCACACCCGTCCAGAGCCCCCGTTTAGCCACTGTGGTGGTCACAGACGCCATGAGGGGAGAGGCCAATGGGCATTGGCCCTCCCCCCACAGCAATGTCCACGACAGTGTTGCCCGTCCGGCACCGCGAGGAGGTAGGAGGTTGTTTTGCCACTACTGACACACACACTGACACACACACTGACCACGCACACTGACACACACACTGACACACACACTGACCACGCACACTGACACACACACTGACACACACACTGACCACGCACACTGACACACACACTGACACACACACTGACACACACACTCAGCTCTTGTCACATACCCCGCGATGACGCAATGACACCGACACACAATGGCACGGGGATATAAGGAGATCACAATCACACTCACACGTCACTCAGAGACACGAGGACACGTTGACATTCACACAGCGACATAAACTTACACTCCTCACAAAAGACAAAGATCCCCCGTTTATATTATAGCCTTAACAGACCGCTGGGGCAAGTGCTGTTAGGGAGCAGCAGAAGGCCGACACGGCGCATGGAAGGGGTGGGGTGGCCAGCACCACCCCGGCCGCCTTTGTCTCCCCAACGCTGATGTTTACACCGCACCGAGTTTGACCTCGTGGAGGCCCGGGACGGGTTCAGATATAATCAGTCACCGGTGTTGGCCGGGAGCGGACATCGAATTCTGGTGGCCGGGTTCGTAGCGTAGCGTAGCGCTAACTGCTGCGCCACCGCTCCCCAAAGACCCCCCCACCGTGTCACCTTAACAGACTGTTGGGGGGGTGCAAGTGCTGTGAGCGAGCAGCAAGCGGCACGTGCTGAAGGCCGGCACGGCACACGAAGGCCGTGGGTGGTGGCCACCACGTGCACGCCTCAACCCGTACCCATCCAGACTAACAAATACAATCCGTCCTGGGAGACGATCTTGAATCCATAGCTTGGATTGACACCCCCAGGGGAGGGGTTTCGGCGGCCCCGCGTGGAGGCAGCAGCAGCAGCAGCAGCGACCCCTAGCGGCCGCCTCCTCTCACGCCTCACCCCATCACTCTCCTCTTCGCTATTAGGGGACGTCCATAAATGACGTCACGCACCTGGGGGGGGGGGGGGGGTTGAGAAATGTGACGTCACATCAAAAAGCGCAACTTTAAATGAATATAGACAACACGTTCTACTTAATTAAATATACTTTTAAATACATTTTTTCCTACATCAGAGTGCAGCGCCACATTAAATACGCACTACAATGACAATAGTTTAAAGCGATTTGAAGCAAGTTTTATTTGGGGGGGGGGGGGCAGAGCTTTGTGACGTCATATTTGAGGGGGGGGGGTCAAAATCGTCCAAAATCGCGTGACGTCATTTATGGACGGCCCCTTATAATCTCCCCTCTCTCAACACAATGAGTACACCACCTGGACTCGAGTGTGGATGTAACACGGCAGGAGGCTCACCGTACACTTCTACCAATGTCTCGTGCCGTCTGCTGGTGGCATCTGTGCAAAAGAGCTTCATAGCTCATCGGATTCCTCCTGAAGTCTCAATGAAGACTCCGACTCCGTGGGGTTGCCCAGCCCCTCGGTTTGGCCGGGAGTCTCGGTCGGAATTGATGACCGATATCCCGGTGACGATCTAAAGCAGGGGTCGGGAACCTTTTTGACTGGGAGAGCCATAAAAGCCAAATATTTCTTAATATATTTCATTGACAGCCATATAGTATTTTTAACGTATAATAAATTAAATATGTCTTACTTTTAATGCGACTTCTGGTCACGGTACCAAGTGACCCGAGAAATTTTATCTTCAAAACTAATTTCTGTTTACTTTAAAATGACACAGTATTATTAAGCAATATCACAAGTATTTTAAAATCAGTTCAAGACTGATTTTATTATTATTTTTGTATTATTATTTTTTTCAACTCAAAATTGTCTGGGAGCCATATGCCGTCACCGGAAGAGCCATATATGGCTCGCGAGCCATAAGTTCCCGACCGCTGATCTAAAGCAATCCGGGACATTTTAAAAGTAGAGGATATTTTAATGAAACTAATTGATGGCAATTTAGAACGTCTCCCGGAATAGCTGCAGCTGAGAGTTGATGGCAACCCGCCTCAACCTCCTCCTCCTCCCCCCACGATGTTTGAAAAAGTGAAAGATTTTGTGTTGAGATCCCAGAATCAGAACGTGTAATGAGGCTGGATCAATCTTTTGAGCGGAGATCCCATTAGAGGGACACAGCTTTTCAAACCTATGATCTCTGTCTCTCTTCTGGGCCTCTCTGTTCACAGTGTGTGTGTGTGCCCATGCAGAAGGGACATTGCTCGAAACGTCGACCGGCGTCACGGTTTCTGCCACCCTGATGGAATCGCCGATGGGTGAATCGCGAGCGCGATTACCGTGGTCGCGATTCCGCGATTCACGGAACGTGTCCAGCACCCATTGAAAGGCACGTTGAGAATCGACAAAATTAATTTGCGGATGTGGATCGCCAGCAGCCGGATCGTTACATATTCCCTAACAGCCAGAATGATTACAACATCCGCTACAAAAACTATTGATCGATGTATCGAGTCGCAACTCAGACTTCCAGCATGGTTCAACACGCCTCAACCACCAACACAAAACGACACGCGGAATGCCAATTGCGATGGGTGACTAGAATCGATCTGCAGTGAATCTGTATAACTTCAACGTCGCTCACGATTCGATTCTAAAGGGGACGCGTGCGCTGCACTGCAGCCTGGCACGGGCGGTCTCTGTGTGCCGTGACATCGGGGGGCTCTCAGGGGGAGCTCGAGGGGGGCTCGAGGGGGGCTCGAGGGGGGCCCATGGCGCAGGGAGGAGGGGGGGCGGGGAGGCGGCCCCGCGTGCTGCTGGGAGCCACCGGCAGCGTGGCGTCGGTGAAGCTGCCGCAGCTGGTGGCTCGCATCCTCGAACTTCCACAGCAGGCAAGTCGCCATCGTCTCTGGAACTTTGTCATCACTGAGACTTCATCATCATCGCGCTTTGCTTGAGAGGGTGCAGGATAAAGGTTCAGCCCTACAATCGCTCGCTCTCACGCCCCTGCTGGTGAAAGAGCCCCCCACTATCCCACTATGAGGAGTTCTAGTCGAGGGGTATTTGGCCTACTCTTCCACTGGTCCTATGTGAGTCCATTGTAACTATATACGGCTATGACTCGTGTGTTAGTCTATGAGTCCCGATGCAATTCTGACCCTTGTGTGCATCTATGATTTCTGTGTTAGTCTACGGGTCATATGGTCGTATATGGGTCCCTATGTGAGTCTATGGGTCCCTATGTGAGTCTAAAGTCTAAACAGATAAAGGTGCAGCCCTGCAATTGCTCGCTTGCGCCCCTGCTGGCAGATGGGCCGCCACGTGTGTGAACCCCCGCCTGTGTGTGCGGCCGAAGGGGGGCGGTCGCGTAGCGGCCAACACCGGTGATGACTATCTGAACCGGTCCTTGGCTTTCCTTAGGTCGACTCAGCCTTAAATGAGTGCCTGGTCTGATGTGTAAAAACATCGCCACTCGGGAGACAAAGGCGGTCGGGAGTGGTGCTGGCCGCCCACCCCCTCGTGTGCCGTGCCGGCCTTCATAGGTGCTCGCTAACAGCACTTGCCCCAACATTAAAACTCTACGGGGGATCTTTGTCTTTGTGTAGCCGGAGGTGCGTGTGGTGTGCACGGAGCACGCGAAGCACTTCTTCGCAGCCGAGTCGCTGCCCGTCCCCGTCTACAGCGACGCCGACGAGTGGCAGGTGAGTGTCCACGACGCCTGTGCCAGGCTAGGTGCACCGAGCGAGGAAGGCTCGCTGCTGGACGGTGACGGGACAGACCCCAGGTGTTACGGCCGGCCTGAGATGATTGTCAGATGCACCACCTGTGCCCCCCACTGTGCCCCCCACTGTGCTCCCCACTGTGCCCCCCACTGCGCCCCCCACTGTGCCCCCCCCCGCCCTTCGCTGTGGTTAGAGGGCGACTGCCTCCCAACTGCCCAGCAGCAGCATCCTTCACGAGCCTATTCCTCCACAGAGGCCGATCTTGACACCGCTGGTGCCACACACACACACATATACACGCGCACACTATACAAGGAAAAAGATCCCATTTAGCATTTAACACAGACTGTTGGGAGCAAATGCTATATTAGCGAGCACTGATGAAGGCAGGCACATGGCACGCGTAACCGTCTTTGTTTCCCCAGCGCTGATGTTTAAACAGCGCAGCAGGTGTTCACGTGAGGCCATATGGAACGTCAGTGTGACCGTCACGTGCCAAGCGTTACTCCCATGTGGCAGAGCCGCCCTCTGCACTGTGCACAGAGCGGAGCTCGCTCAAAGAAGAGGAAGAAGGCCTCTCAGATGGAGCTCTGTGACATCCGCCTCCGCGAGCCGTTCTCTACGGAGCTCGAAGGGGTCTCGCCGCCCTGCGAGTTTTCCGAAACGAACCTTGGCATCTCGAGACGCAGCGCCGCCGATAATAGCGCAATCGTGATGGAACATTGGTGGGGGTGGGGTATTTATTTCCTATGCTGCCCCCACCCCCCATCCCCCATCCCCACCCCTCACCCCCATCCCCCATCCCCCCCTATCCCCCACCCCATCCCCCACCCCCCATCCCCACCCCCCACCCCCCATCCCCACCCCTCACCCCCATCCCCCCCTATCCCCCACCCCATCCCCCACCCCCCATCCCCACCCCCCACCCCCCATCCCCACCCCTCACCCCCATCCCTCATCCCCCCACATTCCCCCCCATCCCCCACCCCCATCCTCCACCCCCATCCCCCCCTATCCCCCACCCCATCCCCCCCACCCCTCCCATCCTCCACCCCCCATCCCCCACCCCCCATCCCCCCCCATCCCCCACCCCATCCCCCCCACCCCTCCCATCCTCCATCCCCCCCACCCCTCCCATCCTCCACCCCCCCCATCCCCCCCCATCCCCCGCCCCTACCCCCCCATCCCCCACCCCCTATTCCCCACCCCCCACCCTGTGCGTCTCCCAGACATGGAGGCGTCTGGGTGACCCGGTGCTCCACGTGGAGCTGCGCCGCTGGGCCGACCTCCTGCTGCTCGCGCCGCTCGACGCCAACTCGCTCGCCAAGGTGGCCGGCGGTCTCTGCGACAACCTGCTGGTGAGCGGGCGGCGGTGACGTGGGGGGAGCTGCGGGCAGCGTGGGGGGTGGGCGGGGGGGTGAGGAGGGGTGCGGGGGGGGCACAGGTGTGGATGTCTTTAGGATTCTAATTTGCACTTTTTGGTGTGTGTGAGAGACTCTGTGGGTCTCTATGTGACTCTATTGGTCTGTTTGTGAGCCTGCGTTATCTTGATGTAAACCTCTGGGTTTCTACGTTAGGCTATGGGTCTTTGTGTGAGTCAGTGGGTCTCTCTATATGTCTATGAGTCCCTGTGCGAGTGTCTTTGTCTCTATGGGAAGCCATCTCGCATATTCCCCTTGTGCACCCAACCCCCCTTCCATGTACACCTCCCACACCCCCTTCCCCGCACACGTAGATGTGTGTGGTGCGAGCCTGGGACCGAGATCGCCCGCTGCTCTTCTGCCCGGCGATGAACACGCACATGTGGGATCACCCGCTCACGGGCGCCCACACGCGCACGCTGCGCCAGCTCGGCTACGAGGAGGTGGCGTGCGTGAGCAAGACCCTCGCATGCGGAGACACGGGTACGCTCGCGTGCGGAGACACGGCTACGCTCGCGTGCAGAGACACGGGTACGCTCGCGTGCGGAGACACGGGTACGCTCGCGTACGGAGACACGGGAACGCTCGTGCGCCCAGTCGCCTCCTTGGCACTCTGCTGCCGCCGCTGCCACGGTCGCTGTTCCCGTGAACTTGGCTCGTTCGATCACTCCGGCCGTGTTGAGTGCATCGCCACCCTGTGTTCAACTAGCACCACACCGCAGGTCACGACAACGCTCACCCATCCACCAGCTCACTCATTCATTGACTCGCTCACCCTCTCCACACACCGCCGGTCACTACAACGCTCACCCACCCACCAGCTCACTCATTCATTGGCTCGCTCACCCTCTCAGCACACCGCCGGTCACTACAACACTCACCCACCCACCAGCTCACTCATTCATTGGCTCACTCACCCTCTCAGCACACCGCCGGTCACTACAACGCTCACCCACCCACCAGCTCACTCATTCATTGGCTCGCTCACCCTCTCAGCACACCGCCGGTCACTACAACGCTCACCCACCCACCAGCTCACTCATTCATTGACTCGCTCACCCTCTCAGCACTCCGCCGGTCACTACAACACTCACCCACCCACCAGCTCACTCATTCATTGGCTCGCTCACCCTCTCAGCACACCGCCGGTCATTATAACGCTCACCCACCCACCAGCTCACTCATTCATTGACTCACTCACCGCACTGCAGGTGACAACTCATTCATTCACAAATGTATCCACTCACTAACTCAACTAACTCACCACACGGTAGGTCAACACAACAACACTCACCCACTCATTCCGATTGGTCCCAGCAATAGAACCGACCAGCGGTAATGGATGATTTCTAATCGCATTTCCCAGCTCTACTCACCACACTGCTCACCGACCCTCACCACCCCTCACCACCCCCCCTCACGACCCTCACCGCAGGTCTGGGTGCCATGGCGGAGGTGGACACGATTGTGCGGGCAGTGCAGACTCACCTGAGAGCCTCCCTCACCACACCTGAGCCCAGCTCCACACCGGAACATGGGTCTGCACAGGAACCTGGGTCTACACTGGAACCTGGATCCATACAGGGACCTAGGCCTACACAGGAACCTGGACCTACACAGGAACCTGGACCTACACAGGAACCCAGCTCCACACAGGGACCCAGGTCTACACAGGAACCTGGGCCTACACAGGAACTTGGGTCTACACAGGAACCTGGCTCTACACAGGAACCTGGACCTACACAGGAACCCAGCTCCACACAGGAACCCAGCTCCACACAGGGACCCAGGTCTACACAGGAACCTGGGTCTACACTGGAACCTGGATCCATACAGGGACCTGGGCCTACACAGGAACCTGGGCCTACACAGGAACCCAGCTCCACACGGGAACCTGGGTCTACACAGGAACCAGGGTCTACACAGGAACCCAGCTCCACACAGGAACCTGGATCCATCCATGATTCTGTATCCAATACCTGAACTGCTTATAACCGAAGATTGCTTATATCTTAAAATTTTAACTGATTAGGGATGAAACCTCGGATCCGCGTGGCAAAGACCCAACACTTCATCTTCACGCAGCAGTCCCCTTCGTCAACACGGCATTGTTTAATTAATAAACCAGCCATTACAGAAGGCGGCAGCCTTCAGGGCTAAACTGCGTGTGTTTGTTTGCACGTGTCCCAAATTTGAGTAAACTCCTTGAAATTAAATTGTCCGATTTTCTGGGCGAAGTGCCGAGCAGCGTCTTCACGGGCATTGCCATCACCCAATCCTCCACCCCCCCACTCCACCATCCTCTCGCAGGCTTCTTCTATGTCCACCCCCCTCCTTAAATATATTAACGCACCACCCACCCCCCGATGATGGTGGCGGTGGTGACTCCGCACTTGGCTGCCTGTAATCCAGCACTGTGTTGGAGGCAGCAGCAGCGAGGGTTGTTGGATCGCGTGGAACTCTCTTCCCGTGGGCGTCGAGGAAGTATTCCCCTGCCTGGCTCGCCAAAAGGTAGAACAGCAAACGTGTTCTATCCGTATGGGATAGAGTGTTTCCCCCTCGCATGCAGGCACACATGCTTGGGTTTTCTCCCCAATGCTCTGACTTCCACACATATAAAGCTCATAAATTGGGCCAATAACACCTTGATATGTAGAGGACCACAGAGCTTGGGCAATTGTTGGTAGCGCCGGCTCCTCGCAGCCCGGATGCTGCCGCTGCCTATCCCGCTCGTCCGTGGTTCCGCCCCGCGTCTCCGAGTCGTCCGCTCTCTCTCCGACAGCGCCGAGCGAATACCGCGCAGAGCAGTGTCACAAGTTGACACCGTCAATTAACTCTGCAGTATTCAAATGACGTCGAGGATTTTCAGTTATTTATTTAGCAAAGACAAAGCCGCGTGTTTCACAGGGCCCGCCACCTGTCGTCACAGGCGCAAGTGCACGTACATTATAAATTACAACAACAACCACACCAACAACAAACGTCAACAACGACAAACGCAGTGCGGTCACGCCGAGCCGGCTCCGAGCTGATTGGCCGACGGCCGCGCGTCGGCAAGCGGCGGCGTCGGCAGCCGGAGGAGGAACGCGGCGCACGTCTCGCCGCGGAGACGGAGCTACGAAACGGCCTCGTGTGCCAGGTGCCAGGTGCCAGGTAGATTGTTTTACGTCGCGGGGGAGGGGGTCTCCATCGTCCAGCAGTGGATCTATCACGGCTGACAGTGAGCGAGGGGGGTGTGAGCGTGACCCCCCCCCCACCCCAGCTCCCCTCTCGCTATACCCCCAATTCCCTTCTCTCCCAGCCTTGTAGCCCCCTCTGCCCCCCCCCATCACGCGTGCCCGCAGGTTGCGCAGCGCCCCCGCACGGCGCCGCCGCCGCGTAGGCGCATGTGCAGCGCGAGCCCCGTCAGCAGCAGCACGGCGAGCGCCGCGAGGCAGAGCGCCGGGGCGAACCACGGAGCCCGCACCACGTCCCTGGGGCCCAGCAGCACTGCGGGGGGGCGGGGGGGGGCAGGGAGAGAGGAGAAGGGGAGAGTGGGGGTAGGGGGGGGGAGAAGGGGAGAGTGGGGGTAGGGGGAAGGGAGGGGGGCAGTGAGAAAGGGGGGTTGAAGAGGGTTACAATATGAATTTGTGCGTTGGAGTGGGGTGTGTGGGGTGTCCACTCACCCAAGCACTCGCCCAGTCGCTCACCCACTCCCTCCAATCGCTCACTCATTTACTCCAAACGCCCACCTACCGACTCGCTCACCGGCTCTCACCCCATTCAACAATCACTCGCCCACCTCAAAAACAAAACCTCGCTCCTGCTACGTGGTGACGGCGCGTGGTGACGGCGCGTGGTGACGGTGAGCGATGACGTGATGACCGTCGTAACCGCTCCTCGCGGCAGCGATGCGTGGCAGGTGGGATGACGGCACGCGCGCGATGCCCTCCGCCACTCAGCCTCGCCCGCCCGCCCGCTCACCCTCGATGACCTGCTCCGTGATGTTGTCGACGCGCCGTGTGCTGGAGGCCGCAGCGGACTCGTGCCCCCCGCGCTGCTGGTGCTCCTCGTCGGGGACGCACGCCAGCACGCGGGCGTCGTAGCGCGCGCCGGGCCGGGCGCAGCCCCCGCACACCGCGTCCCGCGCCCGCGAACACCCCGCCAGCATCACGCGGCCCCCCAGCGCGCAGTCCCGACACCGCCTGCAGTAGTACCTGTGGGGGGGGGGGGGGGGTTGGTGAGCGGTAGGGAGCGGTGGCGCGGTGGTGAGCGCTGCACTCGCGCGACGGAGACCGGCGACACCTTCGGGTTCGATTCCCCCTCGCGGCCGCCGGCATCGGTGACAAACAATCTGACCCGGTTCTGGCGTGTAAACATCGCCTTTTGGGGAGACAAAGGCGGCCAGGTGTGGCGCTGGTCACGTCCACCCCGTCGTGTGCCCTTCAAGCCCTAATAGGTGCTCGCAAACAGCACTTGCCCCAACAGTCTGTTCAAGGCTATACGGAGGATCTTTGTATTTGGGGGGGGCAGGCACGGGGTGCCTTGTCCCCCCTCAGGCGGCCAAAGCTACGAGTTGGGGCCCCCTTGACAACCACCATAGGATTTGTTTTCAACAACAGTGTCATAGAACAACATTTATGTAACGATGTGATCAAGCAAGAGGAGCCGCGATGTACAGGGTGCTTAAAAACACACATTCCTGCGGAGGGAGCTGGTAGGAACGTTGGGTTGCTCGGTCAATGGCCTGCAGGGTCAACGGCGGCGTGGTGTATTCTGCAAATATGCCCGACTGTGAGGGCGGGCACAAGCCGGCGTGAATAGATTAAACGTTGAGTTTTATAAGGGCACCACGGGGTGACCAGCCCTTTCCCACCCAGCCCCTCCCCACCCAGCCCCTCCCCACCCAGCCCCTCGCTGCACGACGGACACAATAATCCGCTGTGGGCTGGTGTAACCAGGAGGTTCCTACCAGTAAAACGTGCAACAGCGCCACGAGAAATGTGCCGCGCTCGAGGCTCTGGAGACCACCTGGAGAAGATCCCAGGCACGTGTCGCCAATGATGGTGAACAAGTAGAGACTTTGACTTTTTTAAGTTATTAACATTACATTTATTATCATGTTATAGCATATGTATTCGTTCTTTTTTCATTTAAAACGATAGTCTCATGTAAGTGTTAACATGGTTTGAAGCAGCCTGTGTGATAGCCTCGGTGCGACTGCGAGAAGAATCGAATATTGGGGCCCCATGACCGATTGCGGCCCTCCCTGAGCTGATGGTTCAAGATGATTTGATTTCACGGGGTGAGTCGGGGTGTTGGACGATGGTCACCAACAATGAATGACTTATCTAGCGACGCTCAAACACAGACAACAACTCAACGCGTTCCGCACGGCCTTCAAAGGGGTCACACACACACATAGACATATATACACTTAACAGGCAACGTTCCTGGCAATGCCCCTTCAGAGCGCGTACGACAATGAAATAGGGTCACAGCGCGAAACGTCGCCTAAGCAACGGGACGCGTCCGAGAGGAGCTTCCGTCGAGAAGATGGAGCGCTGATGAGACGGGTGACGAGATGGGTGACGAGACGGGTGACGAGATGGGTGACGAGGTGGATGACGAGGTGGGTGACGAGATGAGTGACGAGTTGAGTGACGAGGTGGGTAACGAGATGGTAAATGTTATAAACATAGCCGGCATCAGCCACCATCAATCCACTGCTGGATGAAGGCCTCTTCAATCCGGCTGCTGCGTCTCTCTCAGCTCTGCAATGTCGCTCTCTGTTCGCGAATAGCGCCTCTGAAGAATTCCGGGGGGGGGGGGGCAACACCACGCCCGGCTGCCTTTGTCTCCCCAGTGCTCATGTCTTAAACACCGCACAAGGTACTCGGGGAGACCCAGGACCGCTTCAAATAATCGCCACTGCCGTGAGCTGGAATTGAACTCAGGTGGCCGGGTTATGAGCGCAGTGCAGCGCCAAACACCCCCACTCCACGCGATCATACAGACCAGCACTTATAGACTGTATGACATACAACACTTATAGACTGTATGACATACAGCACTTATAGACTGTATGACATACAGTACTTATAGACTGTAGTGGCAAGCAAGGTCGACATGGTCTCCTCGCTCATAGTAGCTGTGGGGTGGAGCTCACCTCCCATTGGCTGCACTGGAACGAGCCTGGGAAATTCCACATTCCCATGGCGGGTGTCGGGTTTCCTTTACGGAACACCGCCGCCTTCTCACGGAGTTGACGGTGCCGAGTTTACCGGCCCCCAGGGGGATGATGGGACGCGCGGTCTCTGTCCGTGTGGGTAGCGACATGCGGTGACATCACGGTTATGAATAGCGTCGTGACGTGGGGGGGGGGGGGCATTAGCTCATACAATGACAAAGAACCCCCGTATAGCATCAACTGGCTGTTAGGGCAAGTGCTGTTAGCGAGCACCTATGAAGACCGTCACGGCACGCGAGGGGGTGGGTGGCCAGCAACCGCGCCCAACCGCCTTTGTCTCCCTAGTGGCGATGTTTTACACTGCGCACCAGATACTCGTTTGAGGCTGAATCGACCTAGGGGGTTTAGATAATCGGGTTCGTAGCGCAGCGCGGTAACCACTACACTACCGCACACCACACAAACACACACATACACACACACACCACACACCCACACACCAGACACCAAGGCCGTAGCCATGGTGTCAACATTGGGGGGGGGGGCAAATCTTTCAGGGGGTCTGGCCCCCCCCCCCCCGAAAAAATATAAATTTGAAAACTAATTTCCTGCCTAAAATAAAAAAAATCACTAACACATGGGATTAGCTTTTTATTTATTTTTTACAATAATGTCTAAGAGTGTATTGCTCTGTTTTTTATTTTCTACCTTTTCTTGTTTTATTGTATGTAATGGCAGAGATTAGGGATTTATAAAGTACAACCATAACCACAATCAACAGATATCTATTTTATAGCAATATATTGGGGGGGACATTTTATCATATTTGAATATTATAATTACGGCCTTACCAGACACACACACACACACAAGTGCACACACCACACACACGCACACACACATCAGACACACACACACCACACTCACATTCACCACACACACACACGGACACACACGCACGTGCACACGCCACCGCGCCATTCATAAAGTGTGACTCAGTGAGTGACGTTACCGAGGTCCGTGTCCGCCCCCCCCCGTAACCTGAGCCCCCGGGCCCCATCCCTGACCCCCCCCCACGTCACACCCCTAATTATAATTAGTGAGCTCATTATAATTAGTGAGCTAATTATAATTAGTGAGCTAATTAAGCCAATTTCTCACGGCGGGGTGGGGGGGATGTCCCCTCCTCATCGGTCCCCCCCCCCCACCTGGTTGCCCATCGAGGATTTGCGCTAAAAAGTCTTCCGAAGCGAAGGCTCAAAACGTCAAGTGGCCAGCGACAAGCAGCACCGTTAACGTTGTGAGCGATACCAGTTGTTAACACGTGTTTTTATGCTTTGAGCGAGATGAGTATTGTTGTTGTTGTAAGAGCTTGGGGGATAGAGACGACGATGATGGTGGTGGTGGTGATGGGAGGAGGGAAATCGACAGTGGAACGATGCGAGGGAATAAGCGCAGAAGTGAGAGGGTGACTTGCGGCGTGGTGGGTGGGTGACGGTGTTGTTGTGATCTGCAGTGTGGCGAGTGGGTGGGTGAGTGCGTGGGTGAGTGAGTGGGTGGGAGAGTCGGTGAGTGGGTGGGTGAGTAGATGAGTGAGTGGGTGAGTGCGTGGGTGAGTAGATGAGTGGGTGGGTGAGTATGTGGGATAGTCGGTGAGTGTGTGGGATAGTCGGTGAGTGAGTGGTTGGGTGAGTGTGTTGGATAGTCGGTGAGTGAGTAGGTGGTTGGGTGAGTGAGTGGGATAGTCGGTGAGTGGGTGGGTGTGTTGTTGTGACCTGCAGTGTGATGCTTGAACACAGCAGGGTCGATGAGATTAAACCCTCGGTCTGGTGGTTCGAGTCCTCAACACGGACGTGGAGGGGGCGGCGGGGGGGGCTCGCTTCAAGACTCAAACTCTGATTTTATGAACTTTGCGCCTTCCCTGTAAATTTGGAACGGTGGAACGTGTCAACGTTGGGCCAACGTTGACATGCACACTCAGTTAATACGCGCGCAACTACAACACTCATCATCATCAGCCATCGTCAATCCACTGCTGGATGAAGTCCCCCCCCCACCTCAAGCCGCCGCAGTAACAACACTGGAGACCCCGGTGGGGTCTCCTCTGTCGGGCGCGGCCCCCTTACCAGCCGCATCGCGGTGGTGCCCATATCCCCTTTTTGGGGTCCCCAATCTCCTCTGTTGAATGTTCCATTCTCTCCTTTCTGGGGGTCCCCGATTTGCTCAGTGAATGTCCCTCTGAGCCCCTATCTGATGATCCCCTTGCAGGGTGCGTGTGTCGCCCTTACCAGCCCCCGGCCTCGTCACGGTGGTACCCCTGCTCGCGGCGACTCGCGGGGTCCGCGGGGAGAATCTCCTCGGGCAGGGGTCGCGCGAACTCCACCCCGCAGCGGCACGCGGGGTAGCGGACCCCCTCGGCGGGGGTCTCCTCTCCAAGGGGGCATCCCGGGTGGCCCCCCGCTTCCTGAGCCTCGGCCCGGCCCGAGGAGAGCGCAACGGCGCTCGCGGCGAGGAGGAGGAGCAGCAGAGGAGGTGGTGGAGGAAGAGGATGATGGTGGTGGTGATGGTGGTGATGATGAGGTCGGTGATCTGGCGATGGAGCTGGGCTGAGATGGAGAGCCATGACAACGACTACGACAACAACGACTACGACTGCGACTGCTACCAAACTACGAGGACTTCCCTGGTCCTCGCCTCTTACTCGGAGAGGGAGCGACTTGTCGGAGATGCGGCCGCACGGGTGGGGCAGGAGAGATATTGGGAGAGAGATCGCCCGGGTGAGATGAGAGGGCAAAAATATGAGCAGACGAGATGGGCAGCTGAGAGATGGCGGACGAGATGATATTGAGAGGTGTAAAGATTTGGCGGAGTGGAATCAGACGACAGCTGGAGGTGTAGTAAGTAGGGGGTGACCCGTTGAGAGACACGCGGTGTTGAGATGTGTGTTTGGAGGAGAGAGGTTGACGAGGAGGAGGTGGGACAGGCAGGAGATGTTCAGACTTGAGAGAAATCGGTGAGCGCCGCGAGAGACGCAAGCGATGGAGAAACGAGGAGGCGTACGGAGGAGCTCAGGGAGATTGCGACGAGAACGTTTGAGAGCTCGTGAAAGTAATCAGTGGCGACGCATCTTCCGGAGATATCGTAACGGGAGATGGAAAGCAGAGCGACGCAGGGAAGATGAGAGGAGAGACGGGTGGATGGAGATGACAGCATTGGGAAATCGAGAGACGCAGTGACGGTGATTTTGACGACGATGTGTCTCTTGAGGTGAAGATGAGAGATGGACCGTGAGTCGAGAGGTATGGAGACGATTGTTGAGAGGAGAACGTCGCTCAATCGACACGAGGGGTGGAGGAGACGGGCGAGGGAGTGAGGGAGAGGACACGAAGAGAATGAATGGAGGGGGCGGAAAACTTCACGGACTGAGACGAGAGTTTGAGAGACGTCGCGGGCGATGGCTGCGCACGGGGACTTGAGGCGCCTCTTCTCTCACGTCCAGCCTCTTCTTCTCTCTCTCCGCTCAGTCGCACGGGCTTACTTCGGGGGTCCCGGGCGGGGGGCTGGAAATACGCGGAGCCGAAGAGTTTCGCGTCCAACCCACGTGGCCGCGAGTGCGCATCCCGTACGCACGCACGTGCTGCTGATGCTGCTGCTGCTGCCGATGATGATGACGGCACCGATGCCGCTGATGCTGACGATGCAGGGTGATATTAGTTTGTTTGTTTTTTCACACTGGGAAATAAAGTTCAGGGTGCCCGTGCAGGTCCGCGACGTGGAGTGCTGGAGATTTAGCGGCGGTAGTGGAGTGGCGTGTCTGGGCATGTCCCGATTTTCTCTCCCTCCCTCCCTCGCTCCCTCTCTCCTCCCCCAAAACCCACGCCCACCCTCATCCCACCTCCACCCTGTTCAATTCAGCGCCCCCTATGGGATGAGGTCCCCTGCGTCTGCGCGGGGGGTGGGTCCCCTATTCGGGGCCCTCTCTTCATTGGGGGTTATTGGTCAGTGCCCCCCTCCTCCTCCCCCTTCACCCCGTGTGCCCCCTAAATTCAGAGGCAGCTCCTTGTAATGGCTACGGTGGAAATCATCAGCAAGGGGAGGGGATGTCAGATCAGGGCGTTGATGTCACCGCCACGCACACTCCGCCATCGCTACCTTCCTTCTGCCAGGTCCCACGGCGGTTGCATTCGACTGCCGAAAGACCTCGCAAGATCTAATCTTAGTCGATTTTTATTTGCCGAAAGAACGGCCCGTGGAAGGAGCCTTCACTGAACTGCTACCGAGATCGCCGTCACGTGACCTCCGGCGCACACAGCGAAGAGTGCAGCGGCACTCTGCCGCCCGCCCTGCACCGCGCTGGTGATGCTCGTGGCGCGAGTCAAACACGAGATGATTCTCCCTCCCCAGGTTGGAATTGGGTCACATCAAGTGAATAATTACATCGAATTGCGTTGTGTGTGCAGCCATTGATTGGGTTACAATGGAACACCCGGTTTAATCACAACTTCAGATTACGCAAGTCTACACGTGTGCGTGGGTCACAGAATACTGTGTAGGGGCGTCTGCAAGTCTATTGGACTCCAGGTCATTTATCAATGGGGGTTATCAGCCTATAGATCTCTTCTAGGGCTCAATGTCCAACTATGCGTGTCTGGACGAGCCTATTGGTTACCGAGTCTCTCCATGCAAGATTATGAGTCTCTGTAAAAGGCTATGGATATCTGTCTCGATATAACACTATGGGCGTCTTAGTCATTAGCCGACAGGACGAGACCAACTCGCGACACTTGAGAATTCGATTTGATTACAGGCAGCGGGCGAATCCCGGATTGGAACCCAGGAACCTCGGCGGCGCTGGCTCCGCGTTCGGACCGTCGAGCCACCTCGGGGCCCTCGGGGCGCTCTTCTCCGTGACGGCGCGAGCCGCCGCTGAGTCGCATCTCGAGCACGGCTCGAGGGGGGGGGGGGGGGGGGCATGGCTCAGAGCCGGATCAAGCAGAGTGCATTGCTTCGAGCTGGCTCGCTTGAATCCGAGTCACGACTTGGAACACGGGCCGATTAAATCTGCAGCGATGTACCCCAGTAACTGGCGGTTTGGGGGTGCATTTAAAAAAAGTTGAGCCCCATACCCCCCCCCCCATCGCTGGAAAGTTAAACCCCCCTCCGATAGACAAGGGGGAAGGGGGGTGTGGAGGACACACGGAGACAGACACGAGAGGGATGGAGACACGGGGCCCGGTGAAGACCGAGCAGCGAGATTGTTCAGGCTCAGAGTAAACTTTATTCTCTCCCAATCACCACAAGCGCAGCAGCAGCTCGTCACGCACAGCAGCAGAAGATTGTTATCAGACCGACGCAGGCACCCTTGGGTTCATTAGGCGGCTGGCACTCTCATAAATAAATATTCTGGATGTATAATTCACGCACTCAAAACATAAAGGTGCCCCGTGTAGCCAGCACAGGTCTGTCGGGGCAAGTGCCGTCGCAGCGAGCGCCGCGTCGAGGCCGTCGGCTCGTCACGTCGGCGCACGCGGCGCGTACAGCAACACGCGGCGCGCACCAGCAACTCACTGGGGATGAACGTCGCCCGCCTACATTGGGGCTTCGCAGTCACTCGCACGCTTTAAAAAGGGGGTAGGGGGTTTGGGGGAGGGGGGGTTCGCCAAGATTTTATTTTAGCGAACACCAAAATAATCCCTGCGAAATTTACTTCTATGTATTAAAAAAAAAGTTGGACTACAACTCGCGCACGCACCACGAGTCTGGCGACTCGTGGTGCCTCGACGGACTTGGCTGAGCGAGCGCCGATGAAGGCCGACACGGCGCAGAGGGAGAGACGCGCACAACCACCACCAGCAGTGCCAGTGCCGGGTCATCCCAGTAGCACGAGTAGCGACAAAGGCTACGGGCCCCGCACTAATCGCTTTCAAGCTATCGATTCCGGTTCAGTGATTCTGCACTTTCTCTATTACTATAGTACTATATTGCCTACAATTTTTACGAACGACTGGGTGTTTAAGGTTAGCGATTTGTCGTATTATCTGGCTGTATAGCAAAATGGAAAAATACAATTACTTTACTGTGCAAGTTAAACATTTGTGTTTTAATATGCGCGCGTTTTTAAATTCAGGGCCCCTTTATAACATCATGCTACACAGGCCCCGCAGTAGCTTCGTCCGACACTGACACCACCACCACCCCCAACAGCGCAAGGCGCACGATGGCGGTGCCCCCCAACCAAGACGCGAGCCCCTCAGCTCCCCACCGAGGCCCCCCCCCCCCACCAGCAGCAGCTGCCCGCCCTACCCCCCCCCCCACCCCGGGTCACGGTGAAGGGAGAGTAGGGTTTTCCATACTCGCGGAACCCCATAACCGGGATCTCGCGGCCTCGGATCGGTGTCCCGCGCTCGCGTTGCTCCCCCCGGGGGTGGCCGCAGCTGCACCTGGGGGTGCAGGCGACCCCCAAGCGGCCTGGGTGAGGGGGTGGGGGGGGGGATCAAGAGGCAGGGTTACGACAAGGCTGGCGGGGAGAGAGGGGGGTAGGGAGTGCAGGGTTCGAGGCAGGGTTCAGGCGACGGCTGTGTAGAGACGGCAGAGGCACACGTGTCACTATCCCCCCACCCCGCACCGCGTGTCCACGTGCAGTGGCGCGCGTGTGATCAGCATCACAAAAGCCCCGCGCGTCTCCGTGCAGGTCCACGACCAGACGCCGTCTCCGCCTGGAGAGACGCTGCCAGACGCCCCGCTGGGCCGGGGGGGGGGGGGTCAGAAGGGCCGTCTCCCTCTCTCCACCCTCCCCCATGATGATTCAATTGTGAAAAATCCGTTTCGTATCCAAGCCTTACACGTTATAGCCGACCTGTCCCTGTAGTGGGCGGGGCCACGAGGAGTGTCGTCGCGAGCCGCGTTACGCCAAGCGTGACTCGTACACGCTGCTGGTGGTGGTGGTGGTTGTGTGGGTCGGGGAGCGGTTTCTGACTTTTGGCAGAGACGATGTGGGGGCGGCCATAAAAGGTGGTGCCCAACCAAGTCGACAAACGTGGCCTGCCGGGGCAGTGCTACAGGAATCCTGAGTGAGTGAGGGGGGGGGGGGGCTCTCACCTGAGCGCTCTGCAGCCAAGGAGGAGCGAGACCCGGGTAGGAGAGCCCTGGCAAGGGGGTCCCGTGAAAGGACGAGCTCAGGTCCGTGGCGAACAGCTGGAAGGGGGGGAACGCTCCCCATGCGTCCCTGGAGGCGGGGACCAGCGTGGGGCCCAGCAGCTCCTCTGGGGGGGGGGGGGCCAGACGGGAGTTGGGGGGGGGGGGGGAGATGCCCCGCCACCGTTGTCTTTTCCCGGTGCCGGTGGTTACACACCACACCAGGTACCCATTTAACCGGGCAGAGTTGACCTCGGAGAGAGTCCCAGGACCAGTTCAGATGGTCGTCACCGGTCATTTGTCAGCAGGCATCCAACTCGGGTGCCGGGTTTGTAGCGCAGTGCGCCAAACCAGCAATAACACAGGGGGTGCCAAGATGCTCAAGCACCTATTGCAAGACATCAAGTGTGCATCGTCTGCACGTGCTTGTGGAAGAACACCCCCAGGTGGCACGCACACCGCACGTGTCACCTATTGCCTGCCATTCTCCAGTGACCCGGCAACCACTTCCGTGAGAAACCAAACTGTGGTGGGGCACTAAAAATCCAAAACGCAACTTGTTTAGTTTTAGTTTACCAGGTAAGGCCCATTGGAGCTATATATATATATATATACACACACACGTCTTTTTTTTAAAGATCTGGTCAAAAGATAGCAAAAAAATAGTGACTCATCACGGGGACATTTAAAGGAGACCAATACTCTATAAAACGCACGTTTCTAAAATGGAGGGAAAAACCGAAGAACCTAGGAGGAAACTCCACGCGACCACGGGGACAGTGAACATGCAAACTCCAATTATACAGCAGGCATGAGGGTTGGGGATCGAACCCAGGGTCTTCTGTATACCAGGCGAGGTAGTTAATATCCGGCCACCGTGGTTTCCTGGGTAGAGGGGGGCGTGTGTGCTCTGGTTACGTGGGTCCCGCGTGAGGAACTGGGGTCCCAGCTGGATCGGCAGACGGAGCGCGAGAGGCCCTGGCGGGCTCAGACGCTGCCTCGAGACGCGCGTGTTCGCCTTGGCGAACTCCAGCCGCAGCGTGTGCTGGCTCTCTGGGTCAAAGCGCATGCCCTGGGGGGGGGGGGTAGTTGGGGTCAAGCCTGAGGTCAAGGGCATATTACTCAGGAGATTAAAATGAAAAAATTACCTTTTCGGTCGTGTTCTTGTATTGCGAGTTGTAGCGTTCTGAACCGCCCCTACTGGACACGTGACAAAGTGACAAAGAGCTTTATAGCTCAGATTCCTCCTGCAGTATTAATATTCTGACCCCGCCCACCACTACCACCGATGCGCACGAACCCCCCCACCCGCCTCCCACAACCACCACCACCACACCACCCAAGCCAGCCCAAGCCAGCCCAAGCCTCTGGAGGTGGGGGGGGACAGGGCTTAAACAAAGGCGGGCGGAGGGGCTCTGCAAAGGGGGGGGGCTCTGCAGGGCGGCTCTGCAGGGGGGGGGCTGGCTCTGGTCGACGGAAAGGGGCCTAATTAGGGAGGGTGGGGTCTACAGCGGTTGCACTTTGTCAAGGTAATAATAGAAGCGTAGACTCGCACTGCTACACGTGCAGCAGGCGACTAATGTCTGTGGGCACGTGCCATCAGGAGACATCACTGGACAGCCGTGAAAACGCGACTTTGCACTTAAAAATATTATCGAGGTGGATTTTTTTTTTATCGACAACTCTTATTTGCCAAGATGAGTTTCGGAAGATTGCTTGGGAGACGACTCCGCAGTGGATTGATGACGATGATGGTGGCGAGGGATTATGATGGGGGGGGGGGGGGGGGGGGGGGATTTGGTGGATGACGAACGGACGAGTGATTGCGGGATGGATAAAGGAAGCGATGGCGGGACGACTGCGCTGGGGCACGTGGAGCGATGGCGATTGTACTGTACACGGTGCACTTCTTTCCCACCGTACGTAGCCAACCGTGCCGATCGGAGGTGGGAGCCACTCACGTGCAACTCGATCATGGCAGCCTCCGCGTTCTCTCGGTTGTCGAATATCACAAAGCCCACGGGCTGCGGAATGCGCACACCACCACCAGCCACCACCATCAACAACCACCACCCACCACGGCCAACCACCACCAACCACATCATCATCAACGCCAACCACCACCACGCCACCACCATCAACATCATGCAAAATAGCCTTAAACAGACTGTTGGGGCAAGAGCTGTTAGCGAGCACCTATTAAGGCCGGCACGGCACATGAAGGGGGTGGGTGGCCAGCACCACGCCCGGCCGCGTTTGTCTCCCCAGTGGCGAGGTTTTTACACACCGCACCAGGAACTCATTTGAGGCAGAGCCGACCCCGGGGAGGCCCAGGATCGGTTCAGATATTCGTCACCACTGGGTGTTGCAGGCCGTGAGCGGGAATAGAACTCGGGTGGTCACAATCAATAGCACACGACCACCACCACGTCCCACGTCCCCCACAGCCCGTCGGGGTCGAGCACCGTCACCGAGCTCCTGTGAATGTCGCCACCACGGGGGGAGTCGGGGTGGTCGGTGCCCAGCCGCCTTCGTCTCCCCAGCGCCGATGCTTACAGAGAACACCAATAAAAGGGATCGCAGTGCTCATTTCATTTAAGGCCAAGTCCACCTAGGGGAGGAAGGGACCCAACCCAGCAGCCGGTTCAGAGCTCGTCTCGACACCGATGACAGCCGTGGCCGCGGAACAGAAACGCGGGGGGTGGGGGGGGGGTCAACTTGACAGTGACCCCCCCACACCCCCCCCCCTACCCCGACACACCTCCGGTCCAGCGCAGGTGCCCCCACCTGCTTGGTTGTGGGCTTCATGAGGGACCCCTCGTATCCCTGGCAACGGGGGGGGGGGGGGGGGGGGGGGGGGGGGAGACAGACGGGGTCATGTGGGGCGCCCGCAAGCGACCCCCTTGTTCAATCACTAAAGATAAAGATCCCCCGTAAAACCTCTAACATACTATTGGGGCAAGTGCCGTTCGCGAGTAGCATCTATGAAAGCCGGCACGGAACACAAGGGGGTGGGGGGGGGGCTATTGGTAACCACGCACCGGCCGCCTTTGTCTCCCCAATGGCGATGTGTAGACACACCGCACCGGGTACTTCATTTACGGCCGAGTCGAGATAGGGGGAGAGGTGCAGGTCGACTCGACCTTGACAAATGGGCGGGGGCGGGAGTCTAACTGGGATAGCGCTGGGTTCGTAGGGCAGCGCGCCGCTAACCACTGCGCCACCGCTCCCCATCCGCCGCGTCCCCCCTCCCCTCCCCCCACGGAGCGCACCTCACCGCTACCGCCCCCTCATCACCACCAACCACCACCAGACCACCCCCTCACCACCAGTCCCCCTCACTCCCGCCACCTTACCACCACCACCGCACCCTCACCCCCGCCACCTTGCCACCGCACCCTCACCACCGCCCCCTTACCACTGCCACCGCACCCTCACCACCACCACCCCCCCCTCACCACCACCACCCCCCCTCACCCACCACCACCACCACCTCACCACCACCACACCACCACCACCACCTAACCACCCCCCCCCCTCACCACCACCACCTCCTAACCACCCCCCCCCTCACCACCACCACCTCCTAACCACCCCCCCCTCACCACCACCACCTCCTCACCACCCCCCCCTCACCACCCCCCCCTCACCACCCCCCCCTCACCACCCCCCCCCCTCACCACCCCCCCCTCACCACCCCCCCCTCACCACCCCCCCCTCACCACCCCCCCCTCACCACCCCCCCTCACCACCCCCCCCTCACCACCCCCCCCTCACCACCCCCCCTCACCACCCCCCCCTCACCACCCCCCCTCACCACCCCCCCCTCACCACCCCCCCCTCACCACCCCCCCCGTCAACCACCCCCCCTCACACACCCCCCTCACCACCCCCCCCTCACCACCCCCCCCTCACCACCACCACTAACCACCCCCCCCCCTCACCACCACCACCTAACCACCCCCCCCCCTCACCACCACCACCTAACCACCCCCCCCCCTCACCACCACCACCTAACCACCCCCCCCCCTCACCACCACCACCTAACCACCCCCCCCCCCTCACCACCACCACCTAACCACCCCCCCCCCCTCACCACCACCACCTAACCACCCCCCCCCCTCACCACCACACCTAACCACCCCCCCCCCTCACCACCACCACCTAACCACCCCCCCTCACCACCACCACCTAACCACCCCCCTCACCACCACCACCACCTCACCACCCCCCCTCACCACCACCACCACCTCACCACCCCCCCCTCACCACCACCACCTAACCACCCCCCCCTCACCACCACCACCTAACCACCCCCCTCACCACCACCACCTAACACCCCCCCCTCACCACCACCACCTAACCACCCCCCCCTCACCACCACCACCTCACCACCACCCCCCCTCACCACCACCACCTCACCACCCCCCCCCCTCACCACCACCACCTCACCACCCCCCCCCCCCTCACCACCACCACCTCACCACCCCCCCCCTCACCACCACCACCACCACCACCACCTAACCACCCCCCCTCACCACCACCACCTCACCACCACCACCACCACCGCCTCACCTTGAAGGGTCTGAAGAGCAGGTAGAGTTCGCGAGGGTGCGTGTCCATGGGGAGACCGCTCACGAACAGGGTTCGAACCTGCGTGGGGTCAGGCGCGAGCGGCGTTATAGGGAAACACACAGAGACAAAGATGCCCCGTGTATCTAAATGCACACACACACACCTTTAGATTCAGAATATTGAGTTGCACCGGGAGGAATCCGAGCTACAAAGCTCTTTTTCCACCGATGTCGAGTAGGGGCGGGTCAGAACACAAACGCAGTTCACATTACGATGATCATCGCTTGTGTCGTGATCGAAACGTCAGAGTTTGGTTATTTTTTAAAATTTGAACCTACGCGACTTCACCGAAAGACCCAAAAAAATTTGAATTCCTGCAGTCACGAAAGCTTTAAGTCAACATTGCATCGCTAAATCTAAAAAAATAACATTTACAAATCACATTTGCAAATGTGAGCTGTATCCAGTACTAATCTTCTGCTACAGAATTTTATTTTTGAAGGAAGATTTATGGTGTTAAGGGAGGAAACACAGTTGTTCAAAAACGCTGACGCTGCAAAGACTTCGCGTCACCCCATTCCAAGTCTTCTTCTTGGGGCATTGCTCAGAGCGAGCCCCAGGGAGGCCGCTGGGGCACGCGACGCGTGGCTGGCCAGCAGCACCACGCAGAGCCGCCAGTGGCGATGTTCACACACATACACCTGTGCCCCCACACACACACCTATACCCACACACCTGCACCTGTATCCACACACACACGCACGTACCTGTACCCGCGTCCACAATAACCGCCATTCGCCACTAAGTGGCGGTGACGTCACCACGACGCTTGTGCCAGGCAATGTGCACCTTGAGGCCACGTGAAGTGTCGAACGCCCGCTGGCAGGAGGTCACGGGGCAGACCCAGGTGCCACGGGTCGACTGACCGAGATGACCGCGATTACTGGCTGATGCACCACCTGTGCCCCCTACTGTACCAACTTGCTGTGCTTTAGCCACCCGGCGCGCCACTCGTTGTTGTGAGCGTCGCTCCTCCGCCCTCCGTTGTTGTTGGAGGGCGACTGCCTTCAACTGCCCAGTAGCATCCTTCACGAGCCTCCTCTAGAGGCCGATCTTGACACCGCTGGTACCAGTCATCGGCAAGTCCACTCAGCTCCATGTCCTCCTGTGCCACATCACTCCATCTCTTCTCTAGCCCGTGCCGCGCCCGTTTAGCCCCCTCGATCCGGCCGAACAAAAGCTGTTTAGGCATGCGGTGGCTGGGCATGCGGGCTACATGACCCAGCCAACGCTGCCTGCCGGAGCTCACCAATGGGACTTTGCCCAGATCTTTCAAGGATTTGTGAGCTCCTCACACAATCCAGCCTGGTTAAACCCAGGAAGGATCGTAGGCAGGCCAGCCTAAATGTTTCCCACCGGCGAAGATGGTTGGAAATATTTAGGCACACACCCACACATACACCTGTACCCACACACACACACACACCTGTACCTGCGTCTGCACACACGCATCTTTACACACACACGCACTCGCCTGTCCTTCGTCTTTGGAGAGGCCATCAAATGCCCCATCGCTTTTCAAGTTCATATCGCCCCGCCGAGCCAGCAGCTGCAGCAGCAGGCAAGCAGCGCCAGGTGGTGCAACAGCGGCAGCAGCAGCAGACGGCAAGCCCACAGGTGCAAGGTTCCAGTGCAACTTTGCTCAACACTCTCGTATCTGGGGTCGCGTCTCCTCCTCCGTGCCCCAAGTGCCGTGCTCCCGTGCCCACCCACCCCGTGCCCCCCCTTGTGCCCACGTGCCCACGTGCCCACGTGCTCAGTGCCCCCCAGGAGGAGTGACCACCCCGTGACCTCGGCGCGCGCCGCGGACCCCTCGCAGTGCGACTGCGACTGGAGCAGGCGGCACGCGCGAGTCGCGTTTATAGCGGGTGGGTCACGTGATGCAATCACGACCCCCCCCACCCCCCCACGGCATTCCCATCCCCCCCCGGCATTCCCATCCCTCCCTTTCCCCTTGTCCCGATTCTCCCTCCCCCTCCACCCCCTCCCCCCAATCCCTCGTTACGCAATCGCATGTCACACACAAAGACAAAGATACCCCAAATAGCCTCAGCAGACTGTTGGGGCAAGTGCTGTTAGCGAGCGCCTATGAAGGCCGGCACGGCACACGAGGGGGTGTCCAGGACCACGCCCGACCGCCTTTGTCTCCCCCAATGGCGATGTTTACACATCACACCAGGTACCCATTTGATGCGGAGACACACCGACACACACCTACACACACCTACACCTATACACACCTATACACACACACCTACACACACCTACACACACCTACACACACACACCTACACACACCTACACACACACACCTACACACACACACCTACACACACTCCTCCACACCTACACACACACCAGGCAAGCTCACCCTCATCACTCGAGATACATCGACCCGTGCTGTGACGTCATTAATTGTGCACCCTCCGCGTGCAGGATTCACGAGGGACACGTGACCCTGGCACGTGCCGACGAGAACAAAGGACGACGACGATTCGCGCTCCACCGTCACCCGCTCCACGAATGAGCTCGGCTCATAATTTATTGTAATTGTGGCTTAATTGAGCTGCGGGGAGTGGAGAAAGCCACTTAATTGGACTGCATTGTCCACGTGATGAGAGGCACTACCCCGGTTTCTCCACAATGTCGTATCTTACAAAGCGATAGGTGTGTGCGTGAGCAGGTTTGTGGGGAGCGGTGGTATAGTGGTGAGCGCACTCCGCCACGAACCCCGGCGAATCAAGTTCCATGGTGGTCACCGGCTGCCGAAACGAGTGCTCGATGACCAACCCTAATCATGGTAGCAAATACGAATATAGAGTACGGCATATATATAATTTGTTGAAAAATCATTGAAATACACGTCTATATACATAGTAACTAAATAATAAAAGGTAGGTTTTTTTTCCACAATGAAAAATGTAATGTTAATGACAATAAAAAAGTGATTGTTCATTAAAGTAAAAGAAAAAAATAACAGCTAGCAGAGGATGGTTTCGATCCATCGACCTCTGGGTTATGGGCCCAGCACGCTTCCGCTGCGCCACTCTGCTTGGCGAGAAACACCGCCGCACAAGTGCTATATGTTACTGACCACATTTTCACAAATCGAATGACTTCATGGTATTCTCTTGAAAGAACACTCAGAATAGGAATTATCTTCACAGTCGGTGAATAAATCGTTACATTGTGGGACAGTGAAAGATGTCAACGGCGTGTGTGGTGAAGTGAACCCTTCAACAGTGATTGATCGTGGATGATCGTGCTGTCTATTTTAATGCCGCGTGAATGATCATTGTGTAGCGAGTGGAACTTGTTTTGCTCCATTTTCATTAACTAAATTAACTTTATTTTAACTGAACTCCCTTTGTCGGTAGTGGCGTCACCGCCCAGCCCAATTTGGCGGGAATCCGTTTGAAATTCGTCACGACCGATTCCCGATTCCTAACTTACAAACAATACATTAGCGATTCGATTCCATAATATGATTATTCCTTTAATGTCATTTATAGTCTGTACTTCGTGTTTGTACGCATAAAAACAAAACTACTGAATGTACTTCATACATTTTCTAATTGCATTAATATATCAATTGTACACGCGCGGTTGGGTGCATAGGTGAGGTATAGAATCGATTCTCTTTATGCCGAAACTGAACTGGAATCGATTCGTGTTGAAGTTCAATCCAGAGAGCGGCGTGAAGAGCTGGGCCCGGAGTTTAAGACCTCAGCCGAGATTATACATTAAAGACCTTAACCGAGATTATACATTAAAGACCTCAACTCTTGGGGACAAAAACTGGAAGTGATGTCGGGTGAGTGACTTCTCCCTTCGTTCGCCTCGTCTGAGGAGATTTTAAATGCTCGAAAGATGTAATTTGATTGCGGCGCGCTTGAGACGAGGCCTTCATCCAGTAGTGGACTGACTGGCCAAAGCTGATGATGGATTTAGTGTGAACCTACATTCGATAACAACAACAACAGCCGCTAAGTGGCGATGAGGTTCCCACGGCGCCTGTGCCAGGCTAGGTGCACTTTGAGGCCACGTGAAGTGTCGACCTTCTGTGTCAACTTTGCTGCGTTTTATCCGCCCGGCGCTGCGCTCGTTGTTGTGAGCATCGCTCCTCTGTCCTCCGTTGTTGTTGTTGGAGGGCGACTGCCTCCAACTTCCCAGTAGCCTCACAGTGCACCTAGCCTGGCACTGCTCAGTAGCGTCCTTCACGAGCCTCCTCCACAGAGGTCGATCTTGACACAGCTGGTACCGGTCAACAGCAAGTCCACTCAGCTCCACGTCCTCCTGTAACCACATCGCTCCATCTCTTGTCCAGGCCGTGCCCGTCTCGCCCCCTCGATCCGGCCAGACAGACTCGACAGCACCTCACAGCATCCCTCCTCAGCTCACAACTCCTCGCGTTTCATGTTGATGATGTCTCTAACTTGCTTATGTTCTCTTATCCACGTGTTGAACAGCTGAGAGACGTAATAGGTTGGGGAGGAGGCTTTCATCCAGCAGTGACTGCAGATGAAGATGATGGCATCAGTGTGGATCAGCAGTCAACTCAGAGTTCGCACATCGGGTTCATTCCGCCAAATTTGTTCAATTAAATTCGACTCGTTTGTTTCGCGGAGCCGTGTTGACACTGCTGCTGCTGTGGCCGAGACTGTGTGATGAGTGCCTGCAGGTGACGCTGTGCCCCCCTGTGGTGGTCTCTATGTCGGTGTTCTTCACTGGTTTTTAGAGGGGGGGCCACGTTCTCCGATTAAACACAATCAGTGTGAGGGCCGCCACACACTTAACCATTGGGGTTTGACAGCGTGGCGGTGGTGGGGGGTGGTTATCGGGGGCCGCACTAAAGGCCACCAGGGACCGCCAGTGGCCCGCGGGCCGTGCAATTAGGAACCCTGCCCTGTGCTGTGCTGCTGTGTGATGGTTTTGCTTGCAGGTGAAGCTGTGATGTTGGAAATGGTCTACGCTGTTGGGTGCTGTGCTGCTGTTCGTTGTTGTTTTTGCCCGCAGGTGGAGGCTGTGATGATAGTGATCGTCTGAGCTGGCCATTACGTTTGGTTGCTGTTTGAGTTGTTCGGTGCAACCTTCTTGAATTGTCGTCTCACTTCCAATGTCGCCTTGCAGGAGAGGCCGTGTCGGCAGTGGTGATGGTGGAGAGCGTGGAGGACCTGGAGCTGCTGGTGAGGACCAAGGTGGATGCGCTGAGGCTGGCGCTGCAGATCCGAGATGTGGACGGTGAAGAAATACGCAATCGCAGCTCGCCTCCTCGCAACACACCACCTCCTCACAACTCACCTCTCAGCTCCCACCTCATCTCTCAGCTCCCACCTCACCTCTCGCTTCCCACCTCACCACTCGGCTCCCACCTCACCTCTCAGCTCCCACCTCACCTCTCGCTTCCCACCTCACCACTCGGCTCCCACCTCACCTCTCAGCTCCCACCTCATCTCTCAGCTCCCATCTCACCTCTCGCTTCCCACCTCACCACTCGGCTCCCACCTCACCTCTCAGCTCCCACCTCACCACTCAGCTCCCACCTCATCACTCAGCTCCCACCTCACCACTCAGCTCCCACCTCACCACTCAGCTCCCACCTCACCTCTCAGCTCCCACCTCATCTCTCAGCTCCCACCTCTCCTCTCAGCTCCCACCTCAGCTCCCACCTCACCTCTCAGCTCCCACCTCAGCTCCCACCTCACCTCTCAGCTCCCACCTCATCTCTCAGCTCCCACCTCAGCTCCCACCTCTCCTCTCAGCTCCCACCTCAGCTCACAGCTCACGTCTCACCTCACCTCTCAGCTCCCACCTCACCTCTCAGCTCCCACCTCAGCTCCCACCTCTCTTCTCAGCTCCCACGTCAGCTCACAGCTCACGTCTCACCTCACCTCTCAGCTCCCACCTCAGCTCACAGCTCACGTCTCACCTCACCTCTCAGCTCCCACCTCAGCTCCCACCTCAGCTCCCACCTCAGCTCCCACCTCTCCTCTCAGCTCCCACCTCAGCTCCCACCTCAGCTCCCAGCTCACGTCTCTGCACCAAATGTCTCTTTACAGCTCTTCCTCAAACCTTGCAGCACGCCACACAACTGCTTACACCTCACTGCTCATTTGACCTCCTCACAGCTCACTGCTGCTCCTCACACTTGTTTACACCTTACAGGTCCTTACCTTCCCACAGCTCCTTACACTTCAGCTCCTCACGCCTCCACCTCAAGGAGCTCTTAGCAGCTCCGTTCACCTCCTCACAGCTCTGTACTCCTCACACAGCTCCTTACACCTCCCAGCTTTTCAACACCTCATCACAGCTTTCCTCGTTGTGTGCCCACAGCGGATGACGAGTGGCTAGTGCGCATGCTGCACAGCGTGGAGTCCGAGCTGCAGGAAGCTGAGGCACTTGTGCAGGAGATGCAGCAGCTGCAGAAGCAGCGAAACCAGGTTGCGCTCGAAGTGCAGGTGAGAGCTCTTGTCGCTGGCCCTCTAGTATTCACGAACAGCACTTGCTGTGTGGCTGTACAGGAGACCTTCATGTGTAGGGGAGCGGTAGTGCAGTGGTTGGCACACTCCGCTATGAACCTAGTGACCCGAGTTCGATTCTTGTTTACGGCCAACATCGGTCCTCACAACCTCCCCTTGGTCGACTTGGCCTTAACATCTTGCCGTGGTGATGAGATGTTAACTACCTCGCCTGGTGTACAGGAGGTTTTGGGTTCGATCCCAACCCTGACGCCTGCTGTATATTTGGAGTTTGCATGTTCTCCCCATGGTCGTGTCCTCCGGTTTTTCCCTCCACATTTTATAAACATGCGTTTAGAGTATTTGACTTCTATACATGTCCACATGATAAGCCACTTTGTTGAGCTATTATTTGTGGCCAGGTTGCTTCTGAAACAGAGCTATATAGCTCATTGGGCTTTACTTTGTGAAATAAAAATTGTAGTATAGTAAATAGACTCAGCTTTAAATGAGTACCTGCTGCGGTGCGTAAAGACCAGCATTGCGCTATGTTGGCCTTCAAAGTTGCTCGCTAACAGCACTTTCCGCAACGGTTTGCTACAACTATAGGGGGGAGGGGGGTCGTTGTGTGCATGTGTGTGTGGTCGCAAGGCGGTGATGGCGCAAATCACCAGGAATAACGAATCGCTGCAGCACATGCTTGAGAATCTGCCAAAGCACCTGCCCGGGAAGCAGCCTCCGCTAGTGGCCAGGTGAGGGAGACACCTGTGTGAGGGTTAGCTCTGTACACGTGGGAGACGCATGACCCTTGGCCTACACTTGTATATGCAAGTATGTATGTGCCTTGCTGATCTCGTCAAGGAGCATAAACCATCACGCAAACTCCGGTCATCATCGCAACAGCTTTTGGTTAACTATC